ATAGGAAACTGAGGCTGGGATTCTGCCCAATGCAGGCTGAGGAAGAGGCCTTATAGAAAGGGAATGGGGAAAGAATAAAAACAAGAGATAAAACAGAGGACAATAGTAACCTGAAGACTGTTGCCACAGGGCGAAGGATGCTGAGAGGGAACTGGGCAGGAGGAAAACAGGAGAGCAAAGGCCTCAGAATGGAGGAGGGGAGGAACCAAGCCAAAACTGAGGGGGGAAGCGAGAACCCAAGAGAGCAGTCTGGGCAGAGGAAGCGTGAGATCGTAAAGGAAGGAGAGGGAAGTGAAGATTGTTTTGGAAGCAGAGCAGCAAGACCGTGCTGTGGAAAGGGACCAGTGCTCTTCAAAGAGAGGAATCGAACATACCCACGCAGAGAGATTAGAGGCATCTATTTGCTGGACTAAAAGGGCAAGGAACAGTATTGCTGCCATTCCATAGATCGTTGTTGAGAAATCAAGGACCATGCTTGCACGGTGCTGTTCTCAGTGTGCTTACTGAGAGGAAGAGCCTCTTCTCGTAGAGTTTGCACTCCAGTGAGAGGAAAGAAGAACCAGACAGGAATGCTATGAAAACTAAAGTCAGAGGAATGGGAGAGATGGAGGCTGAGCTATGTAGGATGGAGCAGCTCTTTCAGAAGACCAGTGGAGACAGAGAAAAGCCATTCTAGAGGGACCAGAAGCTGCAAAGGCCTTCCTGTGGAAGCTGGTTTGAGTGCTTACGAATCATTGTAACGAGCAATGGGAAGAGCCTGAGAAATATGAGGGAGAAGTCTTGGAAGCCTGTAGGCCACTGGATCACATGTCGAGTGAGTGGGAAACGGATGGAGTCGGGAGTGACATGCTGTGAGTTATGCTTTTTCTTTTTCTTTTTTTTTTTAACTAGTTAGTATTTCTCTCATATAGATGTTATTTAAAAATGTCAGCAAGAGCATAGAATGGATTTATTAGAGGCTGGGAAGGATTGAGGAAGAAGGGATGAGAGAGGATGACAGCAGTTATCCAGTAGAATAAATTCTAGTGTTCTAGAGAACAGTGGAATTGCAGTTCATAATGTCCTATTATCTATTTTAAGAGTAACTAAAAAAACAGGAGTTCAAAGGCTTTAAATGCAAAAAAAATGTTGAAGAGATAGAAACGTTAACTACCTCAATTTTCTCAGCATATTGTACATCTATATTGAAGTGTCACTCTGTATTCCATAAATATATAATTATTATATTTTATTCAAGGCTTTTAAGACATACCAAGAAATGGAAATACTAATAGCCCTGACTTGACCATCTCTCATACTGTATGCCTGTGGTAAATCACTATACTGTATCCTCTAGCTTTGTGCAGTTAAAATAAATGCTAAAAAAGGATGATTTGGGGTTCTGTACTGAGGACAAATCATAAAAAAGCCAAGACAGAAGTGGGCAGAATATTCAGGAAGTTGTGTGAATTGTCCTGAGAGGCGGAGTTGGAGAGGTGGCCAGGTTATAGACATATTTTTAAGCAAGTGCTGCAGGATGCAGGATGACTACTCTTCACGGATGAGTAGCCATAAAATCTCAGAACAGGGGAGAATTCTAGGGCAGGTAAAAGCTACCAAAATTAGTTGAGAAGGAAGGGAAGATAGTACGTAAGTTAAAAAAATAACACTACCTTTGCTGAGTTCTTATTGTACATCACCACTGTGCAATACCCACTGTCTAGACTGTATCACTTAGTCCTTCCACTATTTCCATTGTCAGTCGAGAAACTGAATGAAGAGAGGGAGCAAGGCGAGCTCTGGGTTACATGTGATCTGATGCCTCTTAATTATTTGTACATTTCACCTCCATTTTCTTTCTGTGAGGAGTGAAAGCTTTCCCACAGTTGGGGAAAGAGGGTTTAGGGATGAATAGTCAAGACTGGGAGTTGAAAAAGACTGACGGACTCTCTCTCTCTCTCTCTCTCTCTCTCTCTCTCTCTCTCTCTCTCTCACACACACACACACACACACACACACACACACACACACACACAGAGCTCATTAAAGATCTAAATAGAACAAGGCAACAGATGACATTGTTTTCCGTAGGGAAGCTGTTGGTGTGATTTGGGGCTCAATCCCCTCGTGGCTGCTTGTTTGACATCTAGATTAAGCCAGCGACAGAACTGTCATCTTTCTAGAGCTCCCCCAAAGTCATCCCCCTCACTGAAAGGTCTCCTCAGGTGCCACACTGGTGTGGACCAGATTCTTGCTCTTAGTCCTCTGAAATAAACATCTCCAACAATCTTATTTAGCACAAACACATGGACCTAAAATCCAGAAGGCTGGCAAGATGGAAGTTGAGTCATGACGTATTTATTAAGCCGAGCACCGAGTTTGACACTCAGAGGAACACACAATTAATTCAAGACACATTTCTTGCCCTTAAGGGGCTTACAACATTGGTTTAGCTAGGAGACCACCCAACAACCATTAGGATGGAGAAATCAAATCTCCACATTGGGCTCAGTGTACTGCACAAAGTGACAGGCGAGGAGATTAAATGGGCCTTGGTGCATATGGAATGCACACCCGGCCTGCAGCCCCTCAGCCTGTGTGCATTAACTCCACCAGCAGCCTGGTTGCAGAGTGAAGGTGGCTGTTTGTGCATAAACATTGTCATTTCACTGGGACTGCTATTTCATCTTTGAACCTTGGCATCAAAGGAACACTGACCTTATTGCTGTAGCTTGCTTCTCTTTGAAGCGTATGGCTTTGCATTGCAGATTAAAGTGAAGACATTCATCAAGGAACAGATCTGGCCAACCGCTCCCCAAACTTGCCCATAACAAAGCCTTGAAAGGTTCCAGTCACAGTTGCAATAGGTTGAAGAAGGCTTGGAGCCAAGCTCCTCTTTCTCAGATCCTGTGTGGCAGACCTAGTAAGATGCAGCCTTTGGAGCTTTGGGTGACTTTATTCTCGGCAGAGAAGGCCAAGTTAATACAGTATTCTGACCCATCCTATTTATTTGAGCAGGTATTGTTATAAATGAGGTCAATGTGATCATTCCCAGACTGCCTTTGAATCCTTTAAAGGATGTGTCAGGCAGAGTTACCTGAACCTCGGTGATTCTGTGAAAGGGAATTGCTTTCCTTTGTTCATTGATTTGAAAAAAATAAAACAACATCAATAACAAAACCTCACAAAACAAACAAACAAGCCCCCCCCCAAAAAAAAACTGTCTTAAATTTCCTCCTATGTCTATTTTGACTCACAGCATTCTGTTTTCTTTTAATTCATAAGATGCCAAAAGACATGAGGTAGAGTACTTTAATTATGATGATAAGAATATAAGGACAGGTTAATATGATAGGGGGAGAATTTCACAATGTCCTATCTCTAGGCAACTAATGACTATTGGGAGCAGAAAACTGGCCTCTTGCTTGGATGAATACCTTTACTCGTTGTCAAAGAATACTTTAAAAGAATAAAAAAAAAAAACAAGCTCACAAAACAATATCACCAACAACAATGAAAGAAACAAGCCTTCGCTTTGTTAAGGTAACAGGATTTTTTTAGGGTTTGTTATGGTAGCCTAACCTTATTTATTCTGACTAGTCCAAGACCTGGGAGGACATCCAATTCTTCATTTCTTTCCTAAAAAGTTTCATACAGAATTCAGGGAGTTTTCACATACTTCTCGAACGCCTCAGGAACAATTGCAAATAACAGCAAGCAATTATACAAAAGTCATGATTGTTTCCAGACATTCCTGGGTATTTTATATAGATTAACTTACCTAACTGTCATAAAACATCGATGCATAAATGTTATTATTCTCAGTTCACAGCTGGAAGAACTGAAGCAAAGAAAAGTTAAATCACCTGCCCAGGGTTGGATGCACCATTCGCTTGTGGAATGTCACGTGACAATAAGTAGCAGCAGAGGAACTGAATCCTGGCAACTACCTCCCCAGACTGGGTTCTGTCAAAAAAGAAACACACACACACACACACACACACACACACACACACACACACACACGGCAATCCTAAAAAGACCCCAGCAATTCACCAGCCACTTTTATGTAGTAGAAAAGGTACCATCTTGTGGGTCATTTTCCAGCTTTAGTGATAAAACAAACACCACGTTATATTTTTTATTAATATTCTGGCAAGCGGGATGGCTCACTGGAAGGCCTCTGGGACTGTCAGTGTGGAGGTGATTTGAAGGCCCTACTTCAAAAGACCAGTTTCAATCTTATCTGATTTGTATAAAGGGATATAGGTTGTTCCTGATCAGAAATGCTTAGGACCAAAAGGGTTTTGGATTTTAGATTTTTTTGAGAAAATTTGCATACATATAATGAGGTATCTTGAGGATGGGTCCCAAACCCAACCACAAAATTCATTATTAATTCATATACACATTGTTGGCAGGATTTTTTTGAAATGATTTTTTTTTCTGAAATCATTCTGAAGCCAAGGTTGGCCTCAAACTCAAAATCCTCAAGCCACCTGAGTGCTGAAGTCACAGGCACCTGCTGCTGTGCCTTGTACCCACAGATAATTTTACAGCAGATTTTCAGTGTGCCTGCATTTAGATTGTCCTATAATATGCGGGCAAGTGTGGAATGTTCCACTGAGAGCTTCTTGTCAGTGCTCAGCAAGTTTCAGACCAGGGTGGAGACTCAGTTTGAGGAAGGAGTTTATATATATATCACTTATGTAAGTATTCTTACTTAATACTATTAATGATAGATATTCCCATATATCCTAGTAAGTGAGTCTAGAAGTTTGCAGAAAATGATACAGGTCTTTGTGCCAGATGGTGGTAGGATGAAGCAAAAGGATTGTACAGCCCTGTGGTCAATTTGAAGTACAATTTGCTGTTTCTCACTTGTACTCACTAGCTCCCTGGCAGGAAGAACTGCTTTATTATCATAACACGAAGTGAATCTTCAGAGACTAGATCTGAAAGAAGAAATGAAAATTCTCGGAGGCTTCTGTGAAATAATTCTCCAAAGACCAGGTGAAGTTCTTACACAGTGACAGACGAACGGCTCGGCTGATATTGTGAGTTTATATGTCCTCAAATGACCAGTGGCGATTTTCCCTTGCCTAACTTCTGACAATAAAACATACACAACAATATACTAATAGTATTCACCTCAGGGAAGCACAAGGAGCAGCAGGCAAGCACAGGCAAACATGCATAAACACATAACGCACAAAAAAGCACACAGGCACATGCAAACGTACATATACACAAAAGGCATTGCTTACTTCATTTTAACTACTGATCACCCCCAAAATGATCCAAATTTGATGATCATACTAACATGTTGCTGAAGACTGTAGGTATGTGTTATAACAGGGTTTGTGGTGTGTGCATACACATGTGAAGATATTCTAGCATGCACCTCACTTGACTAAAACACTGGGCCTCACAGGACGAAAGTGTGTAGTTGAGAAGGTGGGAGCTTGACAGGCAGAAGCCTGGGAGAGTTCTTTGGGGCCGAGTTCCCTGTAGATTCCTTACCTCCGTGCTTCTCATCTTCTCCCATAATAATCTTCAAGGATCTGATGATTTGCTCTGCTATGACGGGACTCATGGATGTCGCGTAGGTAGCGCTATGCGAGTGAACCCGAACATAATCCACAAGTTCCTAAAATGAAGGCAGAACCCAAAAATGTAAGCAAGTAATTCTCAGAACTTGTCCTCTGCACATTTGCTCGGGTCTTCAAGAGAGGACAGTTCTCTGTCTAACCCTCATCTACTGCTTTCAGAAGAAGAGCTACCATAGTGCTGATTGTGAGCCCACCTCAAAGGCCTTGGACACTTTGGTTCAGCATGGCGAATGGTTTGTTTCCTTTCTTCCTTTTCTTCTAGATTCTTTCCTCTTCCTTACCCTTCATTTCATTCCAATTCCCCTATTCTCTTACCTTCTATTTTTCCTTCTAGCAAATATATTAAATACCTATGTTGGGCTATATTCTAGATTCACATGTGAGGCTAGGCAGAAGGGGGACCTAGGTCATATTCTAGTTTGACATCTTTGACGGTTCTTTTTTTTTTTTCTTTTCTGAATCATAGAAAAGTAGTTGGAAGTATATTTCCTTCTCTTGAAGAGTGTAGATGACATGGCAGGCCTCTAAGCCTCAGCTACATGGCATTTAAGCAAGTTCGCTCTGGAAGTGCTGGAGCCCATCAAAGAGAGCTCTTTGGTAATTTTCTAAGAAGTACAGATAAACTGTCCTTCAGAGTTTGTGTTTTGCCCTATGATAAATGGCAATAGGGGTGTTCATCCTCTGTTGAGATTAAATACTTTCCCACAGGCTGCTAGCGGAGGTTAGAAGGGGGCAGTCAGTGAGTCATAGGCATTGGACAATAGAGGCTTATAGGAGCCTGTGTCTATGGAGGAGTGTTTTCCAGGGGTGATCTGGCCACAGTAGATGAGAGGATATAGAGGAATTCAGAGGAGGCTAAAAAGCACTTATTTTGGCTTGCTAAAATGAGGATTAATGGTGGAATGTAAGGGCAAAGAATGGAGGAGTCAATTGGGAGAAGCGAGTGGTTTGGGGACAAGTTGATCAGAAGTGGTTTCCTCGAAGGGTAGGATGTCCTAGAGTTGAAACAACTTCTGGAACCTAATTGCCCACTCCAAATCCTGACTTTGTTACTGACAGCTAAGTGACTGTGCACAGATAACAAAGTTTACTCTCTCAGTCTTCTTCTCTGCAAAGTGAGAAAGCAGTGATACTTTCATTAGCTGCCTGAGAGTGATTATAAGAATGTGCATATAAATATATTAGAAAATATGTATATTAAAAATATATGTATACTAGAAAAAAGGTACATTATGGTATTTAATGCAAGTTGATGGCAGTGGTTAGACTATCAGTTTAAAGATTTGTAGAGCAGGAAGCATTGTGGGCTGGAGTCAGGGACCAAAACATGAAACTTCTTGGGATTTTGTTATTTCATTTTGCTTATTTGCAAAGGGGATGATCTAAGGTTAAATTCCCTGCATGTGGGCAGCTGCAATGAAGCAAACCAATGATACAGAGCTTGTATTTCCCTCCATCCCAAGATGGATAGTGGCGGCAGCAGTGAAACCAAACCAAACTAAACTTAATCTAACCTAACCTAACCTAACCTAACCTAACCTAATCTAACCTAACCTAGCCTAGCAACTACTGACTACAACAGTAAAACAGACAGACCTTTGGGAGAAAGGAGAGCACAAACTTGAGCTATTGAATGACTTGGAGGAAAAAATGAGGCCAGAAGCTGACACCATAGCCAATGATCACAGGCTGCTTTCAAGTCCATTTTAAGAACTTTGTATATGTTAATTCACTTACAATAACTCTGAGGTAGGCAATGCTTTTTAATCCCATATAT